GCAGTGGCCCCGGCCGGAGTCCCTCTGGCATGTGGGAGCCTGAAGGGCAGGAGGCTCCACCCCGAAGCTGGGGGCCCAAGCAGGCCAGGCCCAGACAGCTCCCCCGAAGCTCCCCCACACTCTGGCGTCCCGCCAGCCAACTCTCCGGGAAGGTGGCAGCCCTGCGCTTTGTAGTCTTAAGTGGTGGGAGGCCGAGCCCCACAGGCTGTCCCAGCAGCCACTGCACCGTGAGAAGGCGAGTCCCTGCCGGCTTCTTGGCTTCTTGGCTTAGTGATAGGGCTCTGCCCCCCACCTCCCACTAAGGGCCGCAGCCCCAGGGCCATCGCGCAGCCTGGACTTAGGGAGTTGCCGGTGTGGCCCTTGGGGAGCTGTGGCTAGGAGGCCTGGGAATGTGTCCAGAGCAGCCCCATGCTTTCTCTCCTGCCGTCTGTGGTCAGCCTGTCAGCCGCGAGGTAGCCGGTCTCCCTTCCTGAATGTGGGTTGGTTAGGGTTACAGGTGAGCCCCTCTCTTCCTTGAAGCCTCCCCACCTCCCAGTTCTGCAGTCTCCCCTCTCAGAGACAGTCTGGACTCTCCTCCAGCCCTCCGCCATTCGCTCTGAGGCTCAGTGGGCAGAACAATGTTCAGTATCTGGGTTCTGGCATGTTTGCTGATAGCTGCCCCTATTTATTGGACCGTGAGGCAGGCTCCAGGCCCAGCACATTACATGTTTTGTCTCATTTAATAGGGGTTCTTGTTGCCCCCACTCTACAGGTGAGGAAACTGAGGCTTAGACTTGGCCATGGCTGCACAGACAGTTAGTGACCTGAACTCGGGTGTGATGGGCACCCAAGCTGAGCACTTCAATGCCATGCCCAGTGCTTCCCACTGCCCCTCTGAGGCCAGAACAGCCATCGCCTCTCCCCAGTGCCTGCCCAAGACACCCTGCCCCCGGGAATGGAGACTGTGGCCCCAGTTGGGGAGGATTTCTTTATGGCTTTTGTCTGTTGGTCCCTTTGTCCTTTGGAATGCTTGGGAGCCTACATGGCACTAGGCCTAGAAATGGGGTGGAACGGGAGTGCACATACAGAAGCAAGAAGGGGACAGGGACATCACAAACAAGCACCCAGTGAGCTTGTCCACACCCACCTCCACTGAGCGAGGGGTGGCCCAGCCTCCAAGCCAGGCCCCCACGGGCAGCCCAATTCATAGCCTCAGTGTGGGGAGTGAGGAGGGGCCGAGAGGCAGCTGGGCCGCCTCAACAGCTGTACCTGCAGCCACCTCCTCAGAGATCAGCTCCAGCTGGGCCTGGGGTAACACGATCTGTAAGAATGTGACACTTGATTCTGCAAACAGCCCCGCGGGGCCAGGGTGCAGAGACTGTTTGCCATTCCAGAGTCACCCAGGATCTCCCGGGCCAGGCTGTTCCGGGCAGGAGCCCAGAACAACACACTGCAAACAAGTCCAGTGAGGCCCACGCTTGAACTAGGCTTCTCACGCGGCCCTACACGGGGCCGTCAGAGCTGTCTAGGTGGTTCTGAGGAGAGGACAGTGCTTTGAAGGTGTGGCTCCTGATAAGAAATCCTTCCACAGTAATTCACAGGCTGCCTTTCCAGTTCCCACCACTTGCCCAGAAGCACCAGGGGAAAGATGTAAGGGAAGTCTGAGCTCAGCAAAAAGACAGCTACAGGGAGAAGGTTGGACTGGCCATAGCACCTGATGATGTCACCGCTGGGAGCCCCTCTGCGGGCTCGCTTCCAGCGCTCTGGGTGGTTCCTGCTGGTGCTCTGGGCTGAGCCTCCCAGGAACTCGATTCCCAGTCGTCCCTACATCATGCCTATTTCACGCTGGTGTGTGGCCATCCTCGCCCTGGTCTGGGGAGGAAGTCGTGACGGCCAGAGAGAGGCCCAGATCCTCATCAGCCTCCCTCCGCGGCCTCCCTCAGTGCCAGACTCCAGCTGAAGCTGAACCAGTTCTGAGTACCTAACGTCGTGTGGTGATTATAGTTAATAATACTGTGTTATATACTTGAAAGTTGCTAAGAGTAGATCTTAAATGTTCTCACCACAAAAAAGGATGATAATTATATGAAGTGGTGGGAGTGCTAGCTAATGCTATGGTTGTAAGCATTTTGCAATATATAAGTGTATCAAATCAACAGCCACACAGTAAACTTACACAGTGTTATATGTCAATTTCATCCCGATAAAGCTGAAAAAAATTAAAATACAAAAAATGAATAAAGCATCTACAAAAACTTTTTAAATACGGGACAACTGGATATTCATCCACATGCAAAAAGATATTAACTTGGACTCCTTAAAAAAAATTTTTTTTACAAGAAACCAAATCATAAATCTCTCTGACCTCGGATTAGATAGCAGTTTCTTAGATACAATACCAAAAGCACAAACAACCAAAAAAAGAAATAGATAAGTTAGAATTCATCAAAGTCTCAAAAATTGTGCTTGAAAGGACATTATCAAGAAAGTGAGAAGACATCTCACAGAATTGGAAAAAGCATTTGCAAATCATATATCTGATAAGAGACTTGTATCTGATATACAGATAACTCTTACAACAACAATGAAAAGATAAGTAACTCAGTTTTAAAATAGGCCAGTTGCTCAGTGATTAGGCCCTCAGATTGGAGGGTCTTGGGTTTGATTCCTGATAAAGGGCACGTAGATCAGCTGCAGGCTCAATCTCTGGCCCCCGGTCAGGGCACGTGTGGAAAATAACCAATCAATGTGTCTCTCTCACCTTTTTCTCTTTCTCTCTGTCTCTCCCTTTCCCCTTCCCCCCCCCCCCCCCCGCACTTTCTAAGAAAAAAAATATATATCTCAGGATAAAAAAAAAAGTAGACACACAAGGTTTGAATAGACATTTCTCCAAAGAAGATATACAAATAGTCAATAAGCACAAGAAAAGATGGTCAACATCATTAATCCTTAGAGAAATGCAAATCAAACCCACAATGAGATACCACCTCCCATCCACTAGGAGGGCTATAATCAAAAATAGATAGCCAAAACGGGTTTGGCTCAGTGGTAGAGCGTGGTCTGCAGGCTGAAAGGTCCCAGGTTCAGGTCAAGGGCATGTACATTGGTTGCGGGCACATCCCCGGTAGGGGGTGTGCAGGAGGCGGCTGGTTGATGTTTCTCTTTCATCGACATTTCTAGCTCTCTATCTCCCTTCCTCTCTGTAAAAAATCAATAAAATATATTTTTTAAAAATAGATAAGTATTAGCGAGAATGTGGAGAAATTTGAACTCTCTGCATGGCTGATGGGAATGTAAAATGGTGAGTAAAGTCTAGCAGTTCCTCAAAAGTTTACACATAGGGAGTGACTATGTAATCCAGAAATTCCTCTCCTGGGCATATACTAGTAACCAAGAAAAAGGGAAACATGTTCACACAAAACCTTATATATGCATATTGACAGCAGCATCATTCTTAATAGCCCAAAAGTAGAAACAACCAACTAATGAATGGATGAAGTATGTTTTATCCATTCAGTGGGATATTATTCAGATGTAAAAATGAGGGGGAAATGGAGAATGGCAGCTAATGGGTACAGAGTTTCTTTGGGGGCTGACAAAAATGTTCTGGAATTAGTGCTGGCAGATGCCCATCTTAGTGAATATTCTGCACACCACTGTTGTGCAAGTTAGGACTTGATGGTGTGTGAATTATATCTCATTTGAACTGTTCTCTTTGTAATGTCCTGTTCATATCTTGGGCAGACGGAGTGGGGATTCCTACCATCACTAACACCTCTTTCCAGCAGTGCTTGTTGGAGTCAGTATGTGTTAGCAAGGAAAAAGGGGAAACGCAAGGAGTATATTGGGGTGTGTGAATACACTATGAAGGGATCGCCCATGCATTCCGTCAGCCCTGCCCTTGTCCCCTCCTCTCCCTTCCTTGGTGCTGGATGCTGGATGTAGGGTGACATGGGGAGGGGTGGCCCTCAGTGTGTTCTCAGCTTGGACACATCAGAAGGAGACCTCCATTGTGCTTCTGGTTGGTCCTAAAGCCAACTGCAGGCTTTGAAAGTCTTCCGAGCACGACTCTAAAAGAGATTCTTTACCTGAAGATGAGGAAGAATGTCTGATTTCAAAACATTGGGTGCATCCCTGGCCCATGTGGCTCAGTTGGTTGGGTGTTGTCCTGTGCACCGAAGGGTCGCAGGTTTGGTCCCTGGTCGGAGCACATGCCTGAGTTGAAGGCTTGATGCCCAAAAGGGGACCTGCAAGAGGCAGCCAGTCGATGCTTCTCTCTCACATCCATGTTCTTATCTCTCCCTCTCCCTTCCTCTCTCTCTCTCTAAAGCCAATAAAAATATATTTAAAAAAACATTGGGTGCAGAGTAAAACATCGGTCACATTTCATAGCATGTGCTGTCTCTGACCTAGTGGTGTGGGCACAGTTCCTCTTTGCTCAGTCACGCTGGGAAAGGAGTGTGGCTTTGCCTCTCCAGGTGTGTCAGTTTTGTTAACCGTTGAGATTGTGGGTCTACGGCCAGACCACCCTGAACGCGCCCGATCTCGTCTGATCTCGGAAGCTAAGCAGGGTCGGGCCTGGTTAGTACTTGGATGGGAGATTGTGGGCCTGTCTTGCCCCTTTTTTCTCTTTGACTTGTCATTTGTCAGTTGGCCAAAATAAAGGCCATATTTTATTAATTGAGATAATGAGTAGCAGTTTATTTTTTTAAATTACATAACACTTAGCAGAGGGTCTTACAGATGGGCAGTGTTCACTAAGTGGCTGGGTTGACTGGGGGGCGGGGAGAACAGGTCAGGGGGTATGTGTGTAGTAAGCAGAGTTGCTTGGACATACCTGTGTAGCTCTTGTTTTATTGCTGTCAGATGCGGCCCTTGATTGAAGATTTTCCCTCGTGTTGTTCCACACAGACCACCACCACCACCTTTTTGGCATTTACAACTGTTTATACCCTGGGGGGTGGGCTGCCCATCGTCCTGTGGACACAGAGTAAACCCCAGCTCCATCCCTTCCTCTACAGGTACCAAAGGCTTAGAATGTTCTCCTTCCTCTCCCACCATGAACTCCTACTTCTACAAGTTCATGATCAACCTTCTCAAGAGGTTCAGCAGTGAACGGAAGCTCCTGGAGGTCCGAGGCGCCTTCATCATCAGGTCAGCGTCACCTACTCTCCTCCTGGCCCTGTGCGGTGTCCCATCCGCCACTTTCTCTTTCGTGTCACTCGTCTCCTTTTCCTGACCTTTGTGTTTGTTCTTCAAAGAAACGAAAAGGTCCCCGCTTCACACTGGTGGTACTGACTTGAGGCAGGTCACTGTCACCATTTTCAAACAAATGAATTCGTTTTTTTCCGCTTCTGAGACAGTGTTTCCCTTTGAGGTTGAATATTATCTCATTGAATGCCCTAGTGGGAGTCTTTGAGGAGTGAGGTAGTAGGTAAGCCAGATGGGCATGAACCAGGCTGTGCCAGGTGCCCCACTGCCAACACGGGGCCCAGGGTTGCTGGCAGCGGTGGAGCCAGTCACGTGAGCCTAGACCTGGATGGTGCCTGGGCCCCAGCCCCTGCCGCTCAGCGCCTCTCGAACTGTAGCATGGCCAGGTCTGGCCATTTGCCACCTGCTCAGCTCTAAGGAGCAGGGTTAGCAGAAAAGTGACCTTCAGACCAACAAAATCTAGATCTTCCAGGGGGAGGACTTCTCCAAATAGTCTGAGCGGCAGTTCTCTCGGCTCTGGCTGTGTTAGGTCATCCAGGAGGCTTAAAACAGAAGCCGATGGCTGGCCCTCCCCGGATCAGTGAAATCAGAACCTCTGGGGTGATGAGGGTGTGAAAGCCATCCAGATAGACTAATGTGGCTCCAGGCGTCAGGGAGGCTTCGGAGGCCAAAGGGAGAACTGGGAGTTGAAGGAGCGTCTGGCCTGTACAGCCTTCAAGGCAGGGAGAAGCATGGAGCGTGCGTTTTGCCGTAAACCAGAGGCAAGGGCCAGTGGAGCTCAGCCTTGTGGGCCGGCCTAGGGATTGGGGGCCTTACCCAGAGGTCACGGGGAGCCACTGAGAGGGCTTGAGCAGGGAAATGGTGTGACCCGGTTTCTGGTTTAAAAGATGACTGTGCTGTTAGGGGAGGATGGGGGCAGGGGCAGGATGGATATGTGGGAGGCTGCTGTCCAGGTGAGAGATGGTGGCAATTGTTGGGGGAAGGTTAAGAAGCAACTGGATTCAAAAGTACAAGATTTGGTGATCGACTGCAGCAGGGAATGAGGGGAGAGGGAGGGAGGAGTGACACGCAGGACCCTGGTGTGATGGCAGGTGGATGGGATGACAGTCCCTGGGATGGGGGCCCTGGGGGAGGAGCAGGGAGGGAGGAGGGGCCTGTATTTGAACGTAAATTGCTTTGGGAGCAACAAAAGAAAAGGTTGAAGAGGTTTCTGTACCTGTCTCTCAAAACAGGGGCCTAGGCCTAAGATGCAAATCTGGATGTTGATGGCATAGGCATCCATTCATTCACTCATTCATTCATTTATTCAACTGATTTGACTGAATACTGATTCTGTATGAGGTACCATTCTGACCTCATTGCTTGTGGGGTTGTCATTCTTCGGAAGTGAGAACAGTCAGCTGTGAGAGGCAGAGAGCTGGGGGCAGGGGCTGCGCTGAGCCTGAGGAGCTCCCTGTTCCGGCTGGGGAGAAGCCAGGAAGGAGGCTGAGGAGAGGGCCCGGGGGGCAGGGAGAAGCAGAGGAAACAGGGATGGCAGGAGGCAATTGGAGGGAGATGAGGCCCCAAAAGAGTCTTGGGGAGAGAGCCCCAGGCCCTTGCTCGCTCGAGGGCTGAGCTTGGCGGTGAGCAACCTGGAGAACAGGCCAAGGATTGAGGCGAAGGAACAGGCCTGCCTCTCCGGAAGGACAAATAGCAGGACCACAGAGTCCCTGCCCTCCCAGCAGGTGGCTTTGGGGTGGGAGGGGGTCACCGCGCCGTTGGCAGTCGGGGTCGGTCCTTGTTTGTGGAGGGGACTGTGCAGTGTCGGATGACGAGTGGCATCCCTGGTCTCCACCCACCAGCTGCCCGCAGCACCACGCCCACCCAGTTGGGACAAACAAACAAGGCTTCAGACATTTCCAGTGTCTCCTGAGAGCAACATTACCCTGAGTGAGAACCAAGGTTAAGAGGGACAGAAATGGATCCTTATACAGATCCTTATCCTCATTGGCCAAGGGAGGGAGATTTCCACGGTTTTCCAGCACCTCAGTCGGGGATTGAAGTGGAGGTTAGAGACCCCCCACCAGGAAAATGCCAGCCTGTCCCCACATGAGTGACAGCTCGCTGTGTGTGGTTTTCCAGATTGCAGAGGTGCCAGCCCTCTGACGAGCCCTCCTTGCCTGGAAGACTTTCAGGAACCAGTGGAGACAGGCCTTCAGAAAGGCATTCATAGCTGCCCTCCTCCCTGGAGGACGGGCTGTAACGGGTTCTCCCATCCTCTCAGCCTCACAGGCCCCATTAGGGGCTGGGCTGCGGGAACTCGGGGGTGAGCAGCACCCCAGACTGCACCAAGCGGCAGTGCGGCCGGGGCGCTGCCTCCGCCCACCTCCCCATTTACAACAATGAGGCTTCGCTCGCTTTGCAGTGTCTCCCAGGCATCCGGGGCTGGGGAGAATCCCCATTTTGCAGAAGGGAAATGAGAGGAGGCCATGGACCCTTCCAGCTTGGTCGGAGCTGGGCTGCAAACCCCTGCACTCTGCTAACTCCGCAGCTGCCACCCTGAGGGGTCTGGGCAGCCTGAGAGCCAGGACCAGTTGGGTCCAGCTTGTCAGAGGGGCTCCTCCCTCCTGGTGCAGGGCACTCGGTATAGCCAGCATGGTGATCGTTCGCCGTTCTGGGGCTCCTACCCCTCAGGGACCATGCTGGGGCCTCCTGGGCAAGAGCCTGGCCTCCCTCCTCCCCCCACTCCCCACCCCCACGCCCCGCACAGCCCCAGAGGCCTCCTAGCCCTTGGCACTCGCACCGAGAAACAGGGCCGGGCCCTCACACGTGTCCCTCTTAGCCCTTGGCTTCAGTTGTCCAGCCTGCTATTACTCTAAGCCAGTGTTTTTCAACCTTTTTTGGGCAAAGGCACACTTGTTTCATGAAAAAAATCACGAGGCACACCACCATTAGAAAATGTTAAAAAATTTAACTCTGTGCCTATATTGACTATATATAAAGTAATTCTCTTGAATAGGAATCAAATAAACACAAAGAGAGTATTTTATAATTACTTTATTATGAAATATTAAGTAAGCAAAATAGTGAAAAATTATAAAATTCTTGTCTTGTCTGCACCTACGGCACACCAGGCAACATCTCGCGGCACACTAACGTGCCGCGGAACAGCGGTTGAAAAACGCTGCTCTAAGCAGCACCAGCACCTGTCAGTCCGTGTTCAGGCCGACAGCCACCTGGCCCTTCTGGGCCACGCCAGCTCTGTGAACCTGCTGCCCGTTAAGCCAGCGTGCCAGGCCGCAGCCGGCCAGCCCAAGTCACCATCCAGGCCAGCGGGTTCGCTGTCAGGGCGGCACCGCACAGCGTCAGGCTGGGAGGCGGCCTCGAAGGTGTGCTTTCTCTTCGGCAGAGATTGCTGGGAGGAGCCCTGGGGAGTGGGGGCCTGCCTGCAGGCTTCTCGCCTCATTTCCTTACGTTCTGCTCGGGGTTCTGAGGAGGAGTAATCATGGTGCATGCGGGCTGCTGGGAGGAAGCCACGGGCCTGATGAGAAACAGTAAAGGGAACTATAAGTTGCTCCTCTTAACCCCCCAAGACCAGTCGTTGGGGGAAAGGAAAGGTTGTCTGGCAGACTATCTCTGTGGCAGTGCTAGCTCCGGGTCCAGGAGCGGCTGCGTGACTAGGACGCAGGCATCTGGAGGCAGACATCTGGTGGGGGGCCCTGGCGATGAGGAAGATGCCTGACTTCCCTCGGGACCCAGAGCGTTTCCTCTCCCCCACAGCTTCCCCAGGCTGCACCTCCGAGGGGGCTGGGAATGGGGCCCGAACTCCAGCCAGGCCCTGGGGGTTGGACATCCTCTCTGGATCCAAATGGCCTATTTTCTGGTGGACATAGCAGCGGATACGCCTGCTGAGTCTGGGGAAGCCAGTGGCTCCAAAACCTCATCGCAGCCCGGCTTTGTGGGAACTGCTCGCAAGTCCACATATGGAGGGAAGACAGGACAGGGTCAGGGGGCGCTGAGAAGGGGCTGGTGCCGGGCACCCCCAGCCCTGCCCCCGCTCACACGCACACCCTCCACAGGCGCAGTGCGGCCCAGGATTAGGAGGGAGCTTCTGGAGCGAAACCGACTTGGGTTCGAATCCCGGGTCTTCCCGTTTGTAACGGCGTGACCCGTTTCCAGGGCCGGTTTGCTTTGCCTGTAAGACGAGGACAATGGTGCTGCCTGTCGTTTGCGGAGAGGGTTACATAAGACCATGCGTGTCACAGCTCTCAGCACAGCTCCATTCAAAGGGGAGCCGTTGTTCCGCCTGGCGAGGTGGCCTTGGCCTCCCACGGTGGGCTGTGCCGTGGGGAGGGGAAGCCGGACTTAAAAGGGTGAAATAATTGAACCTTCTGTGCCAACCGCTGGCTCCGGCGCACCGGGCCGCTGCCCCGGCACCCAGGGCCCAGCCCCGTTACAACAACTCTGCCCGGGGTGGGTGTTCGTGTACATTTATTCCCCTCTCCCAGCCTCTTCCCACCCTCCACGCCAGTGCAGGCGGGACAAGCGCGGGCCTTGTTTTCCCATGAACCGGTCACTTATGCTGAGTAGAAAAGGCGAGGAGGGAGAAAACGCAGCCCCTTTGATAAACTGCGATATGAACTCCAGCGTAGTCCAGCAGCTGGGGTCCTCACAAGGCCCGCTGTGTGCTGGGAAGGGAGCGGGGTGAGGACGCCCCGCTCCGCCGGCCAAGACGGCCCTCTGGCCAGCCGCCCCCCGCCTTAATCAGCCGAGCCTCTTCCCCTCCTCTTCCTCCCTGCCGGCCTGGCAAGGGGACTGACTGGCCGGAGAATGCTTTCTTTTTAACCCGCGGCTGTGCCGTGAACGCGAAGGCTCCAGCCCCAGCCAGCCCCGTCGATGGCGGGTGAGGTCCCAAGCACCCTCCCCCGGGAAAGCGGTGCATCTGAGAGGGGCGGGTGTTTAGA